CATTTCCTCCCTGTCCCAGGCCTAGAGGCAGGGTGCGTGTTTGCTGGAGGGGCTCCCCAGACCTCCCATCTGGCATGGAGGGACTGAGTGGGTGGGTGGGTGCTGTGCCCACAGAGAGAGGGTGAGAGCTGCTCACTGCACACTCCGCCACTGCCCGACGCAGCTGGCTGGGTGGGCAGACGCTGGGCCATGATCTCACGGCCCCTGTCAACAACAGCTGGAGCTGGAACACGCTCCCTGCTGAAGGTGGAACAGGGGCCCTGGCAGCCAGTGGCCACTCCAAGGATGTCTATGCAGTGGAAGAACCAGAACCTGACTCAGGAACGGGAGAGGGAAGAGGTGAACCCGAACCCACAGCGAGCCGCGAGGCCTCAGGAGGGCGCCACCTGCCGAACCTGCGCTTCCTGTATTTGCAGGAATTGTATTTGACGCTGCTGTCAAAAGCAAAACATTCTTAAAAACCCTTTGTAATCTGCAAAGTGTCCATCGTTCAGAAAGACATCGTTATGCTTTCCTCTTAATGAATTTACAGAAATAGGTGAAGACGACCAACTTACACCAAGAGTGAAGCTCTGGGGCTGATGCCTGATGTCCCGGGGGCCACCTAACTGGGTCCTGGGGCCATGCCTGCTCTGCCCCTTCCTGCTCTCCCTTTCCACCTCCACACTTCTCAGAGCAACCTCCAGAGTCTGACTTACACTGAGGGATTGGGCTCCCGCCCTTCCTGACATAGGGGACACTGAGCTCACTATTCCAGCACTGACATGGGGACGCTCACTATTCCAGCACCAACATGAGGCACCGACACGGGGACACTCACTATTCCAGCACTGACGCGGGGACGCTCACTATTCCAGCGTTCCCAACATAGAACACTCCCATTCCAGTATTCTCATGTTGGGAACGCTCATCACTACTGCAGCACCGACACAGGGACGCTCACCACTATTCCAGCACTACCATGGCAGCCCGTGTAAACCAGGAAATGGGGCTTCTTCCTCCATCAGACAGCTCAAGGACTGGATTCCAGGACACAGTCAGGGAAGGAGGAGACACAGGGAAAGGCCCCAAGGCTATGACACTGGAGCTGGCTTTCAAGAATCAGCAGAATTTCACCAGGTGGAGGAGGACTTCCAAAGGATTTGCAAAGAAGAGCCAATACAGACAAAGGTGATCTGGCGCTCGTTGGAAAGGGCCGCCCATCTGTTTGATCAGAATGTCAGCTACGACAGAGATGCGGGGATGTCGATGAAAAGGCAGGCTGGGTCAGAGGACCGTGATTGATGATTAGTTGATTGATTGACTTAATAAACCCTCATTAAGTGCTATTACACATAAGGCAGCATTTCAAACCAGAAACTCGCAGGCTGTTCTCTACGTGATTTTTAGTGCCTCTTCAATAAGCCATGCAGAAATCCAATCAGCAAGGCTCAGTAAACACTAATCAATCACAATCCTCATCGTCACTTCCTGAGACCATAAAGCGCACGACGGCGTAACTGCTGGGGCATCTGTGATGGGCTCCGAGTCCCTGCATTGCTCTGGAAGCTTGGCCACTCTACTGGTGCATGGGACATGTTCTTAAGGTTCTGTTAGATTAGAAAAGAGGGTATCAGGAGAAGTCAAAAGGACAAAATCCATCAACAGAGGGGTGCGGTCAGTTACGGAGCCATCTTTCTTGATTCTTAGGAAATGGCCTTCTATGTGCTGCTCTCTATTTGCAAAATCATCACATTGAATTCACTCGCAGCACAGAATACCTTGGGAAGTTCCATTTTAATCCATCTCTATTTAGAGGATCTTGTTTTTAAATGACCCAGCTTATGGCTTTCAATGTCTCAAAGGAATTAAGAACTTTCATTTTCACATATTTCATACAAATATACACGGCAGAATTTCAGTTATCCTCTCCTCTACCCATCAACTCTTTATCTTGACATAGACTAAGAGCTTTGGGTTATTTACTGAAAGTGAAGACCCAACTCTAGAACTGTTCCAAACTCAGCATCTCCTTATTCAGCATTTAGGGGTAAGACTAGCACAGCCAATGATGCCTACTAGTGTTTTAAGATATGACCCACTGTCCCATCCACTCTTCCATCCACCCATCCAGCCCTTCCAACCACCCACCCACTTACCCCATCCAACCACCTACTCACCTATATACCTATCCATCCACCCACCCATCACCCATCCACCTACTCAGCCACCCCATCATCCATCCACTCATCCAGCCACCCACTCATCTATCCACCCCCATCCAACCACCACCCACCCACCTACCCCCATCCAATCAACCATCCATCTACACACCCATCTACCTACCCACCCACCCCTCACCCTCATCCACTCACCATCTACCCACCTAGGTATCCATGCACCCACCCATGCATCCATCCACCCACTCACCTACCTATCTATCCACCCACCAACCCACTGACCCACTATTCATTCACCCACCCATCCACCATCCACATAGCTGTCTATCCACCCATCCACTCACCCATCCACTATTCATCACCTACCCCCACCCACCCACCCGCCATCCACCCACTCATCCACCCATCTACCCACTCATCCACCAATTCATCCACACATCCATTCATCCATCAACCCATCCACCCATCTGTACCCACCCACCCACTATCCACTCACCCACCCATCTGTCCATCCAACCTTCCACCCACCCACCTATCCACCCCAGCCTGACCGTCCCCTGCCTGGCACCTACTTTCTCTAGCCCTGAGGTCCTCAGGGGCCCACAAATCTTTGATCTGGTCTCTGCCTTCTGTCCCCCACCCCTTCCTTCCCTCCTCTGATCCCCTGTCCCCCATTTCTGGTGTCTTCAGTCTCTGCCTCTCTGGCTACAGGAGAAGCCTTTGCAGGGCCTAGCACGGTGTCTCAGGGAGAACAGCAGCAGGCTCGCCCGCCCTGCTGAAGGCCTGCTTCTCCCAACTCCGTCCCCCCAGAACTTTGTCTGGGGTCCTGTTGTTGAACTGAAGCTGGCTCTGCTGGAGTTCCCACTAACAAGGGCTGTCCTAATGTCACTGGTGACACCCCAAAGAGCCCATCCAGTGCTCTCACACCCTGCCCCCAACACCGCAGCTTTTCACATCCTAGAAGAGCAGCCACAGCTCTTCTGAATGAGCCACACAGATAATGGGGCAGCCGCAGCCCACACAGCGAGGCCCTGCAGTCTGCAGCGTGTGCCCTGGGTGTGGGGAGGGGTCTTCCGGCTCCAGCTCCAGGACACCCTGAGGACGCCGCATGATGCTTGCTGTGGGTTGGCAGCGCTTCCCCTGCTGCTGTCAGAAGATGATTCTCAATTAACGCCAACCCTCCTATCACCTGGCCAGGCAGAGAGCAGGAATGGAGAGCCACGGCCCAGCCATTTAAGAGCAGTGCTAACTTGCTGGGCCGCACACGCCAGAAGAGGCTCATGAAAAATGTTAAATCCAAAATCGCCCATTGCTCCTAAATTTAGCCCTGCCAGGCCCGTGCCGCAGAGCTGCCTGCGGGGAAAGTGGGTTACTAATGACCCGCTTTGTACAGCTGGACACGTGCCGAGGTAAGTCAGGCCCCGGCCAGGGTACACCATGGGTGACATTCATCTTTTCTGGCACGGACCCTGCCGTCCACAGCCGCAGGCGATGCCGCACAGCACCTGACACTGCAGAGGGGCCGGAAGGATGGGTCGAGGCTGACTTGTTTCCCCATATTCCCGCCCCCCAGGTCCTGCTAAAGAAGGTCCACATGTGCATCACTGGCAACACGGCTTCCGGGTAAAGGAGGGAAGAACCCCATCTACACAGGAGGCTGTCCAGTGCGGTCCCTCCACCACCCCACCCACAGGGAGGCAGGCCTAGCTCTGAAAATGGCATGGGCAACGAGGATGCTTGCAATGAATCCCAAAGCCTCTGCGTGGCTGCATCCGGACTGTTCTAACTGGTCACTGGGCTGCCTCTGGGTAGGAACTGCTCTAACTGGTCACTGGGCTGCCTCTGGGTAGGAATTGCTCGAGACAGAGCCTGAGAGACTTGCATGAAGGGGACATGGCCTGCGCCCCGGACTGCGGACAGAGCTGGGCAAGGTGCCGCCAGGCTGTCAAAATCCTCAGAAGGGGGATGCTTGCTCTGTTTACAAGGGGTCCTTAAGATAAAACCATGTCCTGTGTTTGAAAGTGTGTGCGTTTTACAAATAGAAGTACTGTTGATGACCCCCACTGTGGCCGTGCTGACAATGGCGCTGGTCCCAGATGACCCCCTGACCCCCACCGTGGCCACGCTGACGATGGCGCTGGGCCCAGATGACCCCCTGACCCCCACCGTGGCCGCGCTGACGATGGCGCTGGGCCCAGATGACCCCCTGACCCCCACCGTGGCCACGCTGACGATGGCGCTGGGTGCTGTCCTGGGGACACACTCGCTTTCTCTAACAGAACGTCTCACCCTGTGCATCTAGAGGTGCTCGCCAGATCGCACCCTCACCTTCCTGTTCCAGGATATCCCTTCTCCCCTTTCTGTGCTTCTCCATTGGACTAGTCTATCTGCATTCAGAAATACAGATATTTCTCCTTCTTAAAGAGAGAGATCCTCAGCTGGGCGCGGTGGCTCACGCCTACAATCCCAGCACTTTTGGGAGGCTGAGGCGGGCAGATCACCTGAGGTCAGGAGTTTGAGACCAGCCTGGCCAACAAGGTGAAACCTCATCTCTACTAAAAACACAAAAATAAGCCGGGTGTGATGGTGCATGCTTGTAATCCCAGCTACTCGGGAGGCTGAGGCAGGAGAATGGCTTGAACCTATGAGGCAGAGGTTGCAGTGAGCCAAGATTGTGCCATTGCACTGCAGCCTGGGCAACAGAGCAAGACTCCGTCTCCATAAAAAAAGAAAAAAAAGAAAAAAAAAGAAAAAAGAAATCTCCTTGTGGTCACAGGCCCTGGGGGTTACTCCTCCTGTTCTGTTTCCTTTACACAACCCCTCCTGCTCCCATCTTCCTACCTCTCTCATCCCGTGCTGCTCCTGCCGTCCACGCTGCTCCTGCCGTCCACCAGCTGCCAGGGGCCTCCCCAGGGCCATCCACACCTCCATGCCCGTGTCCGTCTCCAGCTCGTTCTCCCCCACATCTGACACCCCACCTGCAGCATTGAGGGTGCCTCAGTCCTCCAGGAAATCCCCACTTTGCTTGGCTCCTGGATACCCCATGTCCTGTGCCCTCCCACCCCCAGACTCCTCTGAAGGAGGATTCAGGGGAATCTTCACCTTCTCTGAAGATTCCTCGCCCCAGGGCTCACCTAATGCCTTCTCTACGTGACTTTCCTGTGGTCTCCTGGGGGCCCTGCCATCCGCTCACCATTGAAGGACGCTTGTGTCGCTTCCAGCACTTGGTGATTACGCCTGGGTAGAAATACCTGTGTATAGATATTTACACAAACATAAGTTTTATTTTCTGGGGCTGGTGTTGGCAAATAGTCCCTAGGCCACATCCATCCACTGCCTGCCTTTGTAACCTTATGGTGTGTGTCTGGCAGGACAATCACAGAGAGGAAAGGGACAGGGACTGTGGCCCTCAAAGTCTAAAATGTTTACTTTTCAGATCTTTTCTAGAAAAGGATCCAGGGTAAAGATGTGAGTGCTGACTGGTGTGGTGAGCGTGTGTTTAACTTTCTAGAAAAGGATCCAGGGTAAAGATGTGAGTGCTGACTGGTGTGGTGAGCGTGTGTTTAACTTTCTAGAAAAGGATCCAGGGTAAAGATGTGAGTGCTGACTGGTGTGGTGAGTGTGTGTTTAACTTTCTAGAAAAGGATCCAGGGTAAAGACGTGAGTGCTGACTGGTGTGGTGCGCGTGTGTTTAACCCATGAGAAGCCAGCCACCCGGGTGCACAGTAGCCTCACCATTGCACACACACAACGCACACACACCAGCGGCTGTGTGCCAATCAGAGGCAGTAAACCATCCTCCTCTGACTCCAAACTTCAGTCCTCATCTGTTCAGTGGCTTCCATCTCAAACAGGCAGGATCTCCAGTTCCCCTCCCCAGGAGGCTGGGCCTCCTGCCTCATTCCCACGCCAGCCTGCTGCCTCCCTACCTGATCCACTCACCCAGGCACCACCCCACCCCAACCCTGGGCCTTGGCTCACGCATCACCTTCTCAGAGAGCCTGGATCCCACAGCGCTCCCTGGCCCCTCCTCTGCACTTCTCTGTGGCATCTGTCCCCATGTCACCTGATGGCCCACAGGAGCACTCACTCCAGGGGAGCTGAGACTTGCCCTAATCACAGCTGTGGCGGCAGCAACTGCAGGATCTAGAAGTGTGGGTACACAGTAGGCACTCAATTTATGTTTGTTAAACAAACACACACAATTTCTTTCAAGTGACAGCAACTGAAGGGAGGACTGACATTAGATGCCACGCATTCCCCACACATGCAGGTTTTACCTGGAAGCAGAAATGTTGGAGGGTCTGCAACACACCTGTCTCTGCCCACACCCACTCCCCACCGCCCCCACAACCAGTGCGCCCCTCCTGACACCCCCACCAGTGTGCCCCTCCCAACGGAGGCCCCCACCAGCGCGCCCCTCCCCACCGCCCCCCTCACCAGCACACCCATCCCCACTCACCACCCACCTGCGTGCCCCTCCCCACGGCCCCCCCACCTGCGTGCCCCTCCCCACTCCCCACCCACCTGTGTGCCCCTTCCAACAGCCCCACCCAGTTGTGTACCTCTACTGACTCCCCACCAGCAGTGCCCCTCCCCACGGCCCCACCCACCTACACACCCCTCCCTACGGCCCCCATCTGTGGACCCCCCCTCAGCAGTTGTCCTCTCCCCCAGGACCCCACCTTTTCACCCTTCCCCTATGGCCTCCACTTGGCTGTGAACTCCCATCTATGAAAACAAAATCCAGGACGTGGCCCTCTGGGTGCACAGTGTCCTCAGCAGCACAGCACACGTGCCGGCGGGGGCACTCAGCAGCACAGCACACGTGCCGGCGGGGTCACTGCAGCAGGAACGTGTCCTTATTGCAGGTTGGGCGAGGCTTGTCCTAGAATTGTCAACGCCCGGAGCTGACGGGCCGGGGAGCTCAGCCCGTCCTTCCCCATCATTACGGATGAGGTGACTGGGGCAGCAGAGCACAGAAGTGGCCCTGCAGGGACACCCGGCCAGCTGGAGGCTTAAGGGAGTCGGAGCCCAGAGTCCAGGGCCCGGGTGGCTTCTCCAGTGGGAACACCAGATGCACAGAACAGACCCCGCACAGCCAAGGGAACCACGAACCAAGGCGGCGAGGTCAGTGTTTGAGGATTCCTAAGGAGAGGCACTGATGAGTGTAGGGGCCTGTGAGCGTGGGGTCCCCGACAACTGAGACGTGGGAGCCCAACCCCAAGCTCCCCGGTGAGGGAGGACGGCACCTCCAAGGCCACCAGCCAAGGTGGGCAGGACAGAGCACAGGACAGGCTGCAGGGACCAGGAGAGGCCCAGGACGGGCAGAGCCTGTGTCTACAGCAGTGAAAATGCATCACACCAGTTCAGCGCAGGGCGCCAGCCGGGCGCCCACCACTGCCGCAGCCAGCGGGAGTTCCATGGCCCCCAGGAGTTCCATGCTAGGGCGGCGTGGAGAGCACACGTCTGTCCATCTGCATTTTTCCTGGGTCAGGAAAGAGAAAATGGACAAAGACCCAGGAGATGCAGTCACAGGGCAGAGCTCCTGCAAGAATGAGCCGAGCATCTGTGCAGCGTGGATTTATTTTATTTCATTGTTTACTCTGAAGAGAAAGAAGAGTTACTATTGCAGGAACATTTTTTTAAAAAGTGAAACTCCTAACACCCTTAAAACAGAAAATGTTGTTATTCACATAACAATGTGGGGCTCCGTCTCTGCCGACAGCGGCTGGGTTCAGGCGTCAGCTGTGCCGTCGACAACAGCTCCATTCACCCCATTCATAAACGCTGCTGCTAGAGGAAGGGGACAGCGGCTCTCCCAGAGAGGGAGCACCTGGAAAATGAGTCACCGCCAAAGAGCTGTGACTGTTTGGGAACCTGCCAAGAGCATAACCACCCAGTGGAACCTGGATAACTCAGGCCCGGGAGTCACAGCAGGATGTGGTACTTCAGGGCCCTGGGCACCCTGTTGATCACGAGCCTCCCGTCATAGCTCAGGGAGGCAAACAGCCACGGGTCGGCCGAGGACCAGTCCACAGCGTAGACGCTGTCCTCGTGCTCCTCGTAGGTGGCGATGACGTTGTCCTGCAGGGGCTCCTTGCTCCTGCAACGCAACAGAGACGGACGTGAGCTCGGCAGCTCCGGTGGGGCGGCCAGGAGAGGCGCAGGGAGGACGCGAGCGCTGCCATCAGGAGACACGAGAGGTCCCGGGGCCTCAGCTTTCTCCGCTGTGGGATGGGAAGAATTAGAGGAGCCCACGCTAAGGACAGTGGGGTGGTCCCTGCAGAAGCCAGAAACCCTCACTGTCGCCGTGAGGAGCAGGCGTTTCTCAAAAGGTTTATGGAAATCGGCGACATTGGCACGTGGTATCTTGGTTGCTTCTGTCCTTGGCCCACGGGTGCCTGGGGTGATATTCTGTCGGAGGTCTTCCAAGGGCTTCCTTTGCTCAGGGGAAAGATTGGGGGAAGCGGTCACCGTGTCTGGATAACACAGGATGTAAAAACCCCTGTCGCTTGAGCAGAAAGGACCCTGGGAAGCAGCTGGTCCAGCTCCTGGCTGTGCAGGACTCAGAGGCTGGGGCCCGAGGGGCCGTGCTAGGATGGGAGTGGGGCTGGACTGAGGATCTCCCCCCATAACACCAAGAGGAAGATGACCCTAGCCCAGTGGGAACAGCAGGGGCGTGACCTGCCTGGCCTCACCCAGGATGTTTTCCCACCTCGCCTCCCTTGACTGAGTTACCCTCACTGGGAGCCCTGGCCAGGGGATCCTCACACAAGAGCCACCACTTCCTCAGCATACGGCGTGCGCGTGGGGAGGGGCCCTGCCTGGCTCACGGTGGCCACTTTCCGGCGGACACAGGCTTCTCTGGCACTTTCCTTCCCATTTCACAAAAAAATTCCCACTTAATTTGTGTACCGCACTCGAACTGCTTTTGCATTTCTTTGTAGGAAAATGCTTCGCCCCCCCAGCGAGACGGACGGACCCTCCAGAGCTCGCACGGTCTCTGGGAAGTTGGCTTCCCACAAAGTGGACCTGCCAGTGGTCAACTGCTGTGGTGTGACAAATGCCAGGTGCAAACCCTCAGGGGGAATAATGGTTTCCTGACTGCAGCAGGACATCAGGACTGAGGGGTGTCCTAAGACGTCTGTGTAGCCCTGATCACCTCCTTCCTTCCTGCCTTGCTCCCATGACACTGCCGCCCGGAGGACAACTCCAGCAGTCTTCTGACCAACAGGCCCACCGGGCTCCTTCCCTAACAGGGACAGACATGGTGAGCAAGTGCAGACTCCCCGGGCCACTGGCAGAGAGGATGGTAAAGGAAGCCAGGCCCAAAGGCACCAGGAGACCACTGGGCACACTCCACCGTGCGTGTGCTTAAATACTATTCTACGGCGGACTGAGTTTCTAAGGATCGAACAGAAAAACAACAGAGTCTGGCTCACGCCTGTAATCCTAGCACTTTGGGAGGTTGAAGTGGGCAGATCGCTTGAGCTCAGGAGTTTGAGACCAGCTTGGGCAACATGGCAAAACTCTGTGTCTATAAAAAATTAGCCAGACATGGTGCCGTGCACCTGCTGTCCCAGCTAATTGGGAGGCTGAGGTAAGAGGATCACCTGAGCCCAGGAGTTCAAGGCTGCAGTGAGCCATGATCGTGCCACTGCACACCAGCTTGGGTGACGGAGTGAGGCCGTAGAGTCAAGAGACAAACAGATGGGCCCATCGCCACTGCAGAAAAGAGTCTGAAGACAGAGATCTTCCCACAGAGGAATCTGAGACCAAGTTCAGGTGGGTAGGGCAAGAATTCAGACAAAAAACAGTGCAAAGGATCCTAAAACAGAGTGACAGACCCCACCATATTTCAGGGCTCTAACTGTCCAACTTCACAGGGTTTTATTCCAGACCTCCTTCCTCTGCAATCTGGGGCATGAATCTCTGCGGTTGCATCTCAGTCGCGCCCAGTCACCCCCCAGGAAGCAGCTGCCACTTGTGAAGGTGGGCCACTGAAGGACACAGGGGCCCTGGCACTGCACCGCTGACCAGATGTGGACATGAAGAGGGTGCCCTTAGCAATCTCCCATCTCACCTAGGATCGGAAATCAAAGTGCACCGGAAAAAGCTTTGGGAAAATCCAGAACAATGAGGGTATGACTAGAAAACACACATCACGGTTGACCACATTTTGTAGAGTATCTAGAAGCGAAGTAGGACCTGCGTTTGAACTGGGAAGGTTGGCCTGGAGTCTCAGCCCTGCGACCAGTCAGTGGAAGGCCCATGAGCTGATGGCCAACAACCTGACCCCAACACGCTCAAATCCACGCCAGTGAAGACGCCGATTGGGATGCGTCTCTTACAGGGAGTGCTGTGAGGATTGGGATATATTCGTTCTCATTATTGTTCATGCTCAAGTTTGAAGACCAGTGACAGTCTTTTAAATCTTACAGATTTAAAATATTATTATTCTTATTGCATTCAATAAGAATACAAACACAAACACAGAGAGATCTATTTTAAAACCGCACCTAACCCCAACCCACCTGCAGTGCCTCCCATCTGGGCTGCTAATGACGGCACCCCTGGAACTGTGGGTCCCCACAGCTGCAGGGGGGAAGGACAGTGTCCCCCAGACGCACACCTGTAAACTTTCTATCTACGCAGCCTGGCTCGGGAGATGGCTGTGGGGAAAGGAGGCTCTGGTACGGTGTGAGCCGCTTTGCAGTGCATGCCCTTACTTCTCCTCGGAACGGTGGTCCTCCTGGTCACTGATGTCATCGTCGTCTACCAAGTGGCCGAAGGGCTCCGACGAGATGGACACCATGTTGGAAAGGATGACTCTGCTGTCACTGCTGCCAGTGAGGACCAGCTGGTCGTGAGAGTGGTTGTAACGGACGTTCCACACCCTGCAGAGGGCAAAGCAGCTACTGAAATGACCCGTCACCGCAGCAACACCAACAACGCGCCACACCGCCCCTGAGGGCCCCACGAGGCTGGGGCTCACGTGAGACACTGCCAGGCAACCGGCCCCAGTCCCAGGGCCTGACAGAAGGCAGTTTTCCGCTGAGGGTGGGTTTGCTGTAGGTTTCTCTCGAGTCCCAACAGACAGACAGGGAAGACTAAATGTTGGCTGAAAACTGCAGGAGGAGAAGGCTGATCACTCAATATTTCAGACAAGCTTTCTAAAACTCGAAAATAAAAACAAAAAAAAACTGCCCCAGAAGCAACATGTGGATTAGCGATATCCCATAATATCAAACAAGCCTCACGGCATGTTCCCAGTTGGCAGTGACTGTGGGTCCTGAGACCAGGGCATGGCGGCCTCCTGGGGCACAAGGGTTGTCCTTGGTTTTGGCTACTGGGATCAGCTTTCTTTCCGGCACGGGTCCTAGAGCCTGGGAGCTTCTGCCTCCCAGTCATGCTGAGGCCAAAACAAGCTCCAGGGCCCGGGTGGCAGACAGTGCTGGGCGCTTGACACTAGGAGGTGCACCCAGCATGGCCAGGGGCACAGGGAGGCCCAGCCACTCAGACCACAGGAAATTCCAGCAAGTCACTGAATCTATCAAAACTGTGCACTAGTAATCCAGGCTTTTTACTTTCTGATTGCAAAAACAATATAGCTTCAGATAAGTAATTCAAACAATTCAGAGATGCAAGGAATGCCCCTCTTTGACTGGGGGAGGATTCCTGAGGAGCTTTTGGCTCTTACTCTTTCAGACATTTCCTCTGCATACCTCTGTCACTCACACTTGTGTACACCCCTGCGTGTGCACACACGTTTTATTTGCATAAAAATGGATTCATGCTGTACATGCCACTGTACAACTTGATCTTTTTACTTAGCAAAAAGTACCAGGCACATTTAAAAACATTCAAATAATATGTTAGGGAGAATGAGTGACCTCGGACATCTTCCCAAAGCCACACAGAGACACTCCACATTCTCCTGACAGCTGCCTCATCTCTGCTGCATGGATGTCACCCAATTTACTTAACCAGTCCCCTAGTGATGGACATTTGGGTGGTTTCCAGGTTTCCGGCCTTACAAACAATGCTGTGTGAACACCTGTGCACATTTATTTTTGCATACTTGAACCAGCACTGTTTCAAGAGAAAACAGAATTTAATGTTTTTCTTCTTTCCCTATGTTTATAAATCACAAACATTCAGATTTGGAATTAGTGTTTCTTTAGGAAAAATAAAACTGGGTTGATTGAATGATGCACAGCAGCACAAACGAAGCTGGTTTGTGTCTTTCCCAATGGCAAAGTAATTAGCAAAATCAACTGCATGATCCCCTCTTTCCTGAAGCAGCCAGGAGCGGCCCTACCAGTGGGAGTGCTCCTCCAGGGTCTTCACGGGTTCGGTGACGTTTCGGGTGTCCCAGAACTTCACCTTACAGTCGTCTCCGCAGCTGGCCAAGTAGTACTGCTTGTTGGGATTGAAGTCAAGATCCCGCACCAGCTGTCCGTGGGCATTCTCTATGCAATAGATCTGGCTGAGGGAGAAGGAAGAACAGTATAGAAAAATAGCAAGCGGATTATGCAAAGCCACTGAGTGCTGCAGGCACGACTGGTTTCCCGGGACCCTGTCAAATCCCCCGGCCCAGGGTGCTCTCGTCTCCTCGGCGTTCCTGCCCTGCAGGAGGAGGCTGGCACCAGCGCCTCCATCCCAGCAACCCTGTGCGGTCGCGCCACGCTCAGCTCTCCAGGAGCTTATCTGTGACCCTCCGGGCGAGCCATGGAAGGGATTTTGTTTTGCAGCCGTTAAAAATGTGACTTAGTATCTTGAGAATGAGAGCATGCCAAAGGGGCTGCAGCCGCAACGGGGACGCTGAGGCAGACGTCTGGACAGGATGCCTGATGCATTTCTGGAAGGATGTAGTGAAGAAGGAAAAGAAAGACAGGGAATGAAGGTAGAATATAGTGTTGGGAAATTTTATATATATATACACATATATATGTATGTATACACACACAAAAATATCTATCTATATACAGATCTCTATATATACAGAGAGAGAGAGAGAGAAAGTGGGGAGCAGTGGGGAAGGCCATGGAAGCAGGAAGGGGCCAGCTATCTATCTATCTATGGATATATACAGAGAGAGAGAAAGAGAAAGGGAGGAGCAGTGGGGAAGGCCATGGAAGCCGGAAGGGCCGTGTCAGCTGGGCTTACCCTTCCACTGTCCACACCAGCTCCAGGTCCAACACTGCTGGTGGCCAGTGCAACCCACTTGCTCCAGGGCAGGAGAAGGGGACTCTTTGAAATGAGTCACACAGCTGTTCACAGCATATGCGTTTTCACACTCACGTGTGCATCTGTGGGCACACCCACATATGTATGTACACACACACACACACATCCACACGAGAAGGCAGACATGCACACCCGCACTCACACACCTCACTTTGCCCTGGATCCTATGGTCCTTGGCTGCTCCTCGCAGGGTCTGAAGTCATAATATCCTGCCTATGGCCTCTGATGTCATGAATCCCAGAGGACAGGTCATCCGGTGAGGCTGGACAGTGGCTTGAAACAAAAGGTTGTAACCGGGAAAGCAAAGAACCCATGGCCTGGAGCTGCCCCGCGGCCCCTGCCTGCACGGCCTCCCCAGCACTGCCGTGGGCGGGACTGAAATCACTCCTGCATTGTTTACCTTCCTCACCCGCAGCCTTCAGTGGGGCTGATGAGCAATGGGGAACTTCTGTGCCTTGTAATTTGCTTCACTTATCTGAAGACCATCATTGTTCCCTGCTCTCCAAGGCAGATGAACTCAATTCCTTTCATCTTTTTTCTCTCACATTAGAACTCCCAGGCCTAAACCACTTTTAAATCTTCTGGTTTTTATATCCTGCACCTTTTCAATATCTTAATATTTCTTCCCTAAAATATGATACCTAAACCTTTAAATCTTTCAAGGGAAACAGGCAAAGGTAGAAAATTAAAAGCTTGGCAGATTCCCAGGGAACTGGATGGACAGTCGCACGGGCACGACATATTAACTAAAGGTTACTGCATGCTCCATTGCCAGTAACTGTCACACAAAAGCATCACACCACCTAAAAAAGCACCAAAGGCATCCTGGCTCCATGCAAACCAAAGCTGTCTGCAAAAGGAGAAATGACAGTCAGTGAGAAGGCGCCAGGACCCTCTGGGCTGCGCTGGCACGTCCTCACCACAGACACAACACGGGCAAAATGAGGCCACTGCCAGATGTCGCCCATCAAAGCCACGGGCATCTTTTTGTTTGCTTATTTGTTTGGTCTGTAACGTCAGTCTTTGAGTTTCTTGTCTTCAGATACTGAAATTCTTCATATCCTTCAAAGAACCATGCAGACGAAGGACATGATGACCACAGGACATGGAGAAATGGATTTCAGCAGGATGTTCATCACGGGCTGAGTCTGTGGTTTCCAGCTTCTGATCAGGAAACCAAACGAGCCCTCTGCACAGACGTGCACAAGGGAGGAAGTGGCGACTGATTCTTCATTAGCCCCTGAGTTTTCAGAGGGGCCTTGGAACTAAATCTAAAGTTGTGCCCCCACCCTGGAATCAACACGAGTTACTGCATGACATCCGTCTTTTCAGCTCGGTGATAAATTATGGTGTGCTGAGGGGATAAACTGTATCTTAAAAAAGCTTGTGTGGGCTTCCGTTGCCACGGCAACAGACGTGCTACCATCACTCCTTTGCCTATCAAAATCACAACTGGAACGGAAAACTCGCTCGTATTTGTTCCATTAGAGCTGCTGGCTGTTGGGTATAATTACTTAAATGACAAACTATGATTGCCCTATATAGGTGTGTCTCCAGAAGGCACAGCTACGGTCAAGGACGACCCCAGGAGAGACTTAACCTGGGGACTGCAGCTGTCAGCCTGCAGCGGCTCATCAGAGAAGGGCACCCTGTGGTCCCCATCTCGCTCAGTGTTACAAAAGCCCCAATTCCTAGTTTTCATCGTCAACTGCTGTTAATGCAGGGATATCAACATGGAACATTCAACAGCCACCGAGGTGCACCGGTTCCACGGCAGTGGATGTGCTCGCTTAATCTGGGGTGAAGAAACAAGATGAAGATTTATGATTTCCTGCAAGAATGAGATGGAGACAAACCAACCATGCGCCCCTAAATACATCTGGCTCACGATCAGCTCCACCGTCATCCCGGTTCTGCTCGCTAAGGGAGGAGAGGAAGCGGGGCCCGTGCGTGGTGGGCTCACTGACCTCATGCTCCGGGTGTCCCAGCCACGGAGGGTGGTGTCGTTCGCTGTGGCCACCTGGGTGCAGTTGTGATGCGGACTCCACCGTCCCGAGGTGAACTTCAGTTGTCCCTTCCCTCCCAGGGAGGCTGAGCTGGCCAGCTGGGAGTGTCATGATGTTTTCCAAAGGAAGAAGAAAAGCAGAAGAATGTGAGGTCTGTTCAGAAAATGCGAGAAGATATCCTATATTCAAGGACATTACGGAAAATAATTACTGAGAATAATTAGGAAGCTCTGTCTTTGTTTCCTTTCCTTAAATGGCAAAAATGAACCTTTCTTGGGAAAATCTATAAAACTGAGCAGAGCAAAAAATAGAAAGCATATTAATAGACCTCTATTAAAGAGCACTTGCTTGCAAGTATGTGATTAGAGATAATCAACTCCAACTTCAAGGAAAACAATATAAAATAACTCAAACATCTGGCTCTCCCCAAAGAAAGAGACAAAACAAGTCAGGTACACCTGACCGGTTCTGGAATAACAAAGGGACAAACACATTTCGGTCCCTCCGATGCTGTCTTCAGTGCACAGCCTCTTCCCTCCCTTCGTCTCGAGGCCCACACGGCCTTCATGTGGCGTTTAATCAGACCGCCCCAAGCCAGTGAGCTGACCACGAAGACCTCAGCAAGGCCTTCTGGGGTTGGTGTTAGGGCTAAAACCTGCCTAAAAGAGGGTGGGCCCAGTTATGAGCCTGGGAGAAGATCCCCAGCTCTCTTCTCTGCCTGCCAGGGATTTCATGCACAAAGGCTGCGTGTGTTGGCTGCGTCATTATTTCAATTTGGGGTTTGAATTTTAATGCAAAGGACGAGTGCTAAAGGCAAGAAGGGTCCAGGTCTGCCCTAGGGTCCTCTGTCACACCTGCCCCCAAGTCCTCCCGAGGGACACAGTTCCCACCACTAATTCTGTTAACTTTCAAACCAGCTGTGCTCTTCAGAGCCCTCTGAGAGGAGCCTGCGGCAGGTGGCTGGTGAGGTGGGCCTGGCCGGGCCGAGGGCAGGTCCAAATGGAGCTGCTAGACAGGCCGTGAGAGGCCCAAGGACCGAGCTGGTGCTGGAGTTTATTCACCATCTCACGAGATTTACCAAGGGGCTTTGCTGGGCAGGGGCAGGGTGGGCACCCAGGCTTGGGGTGAACAAGGCCTGGAGGTCCCTACAGAGTGAGTGCCCGCTGCATAGACAGGAAGGGGCTCTGCCTGGAAACCACCACTCAGAACGGAAAGACAGGCGGTTCCCAGTGAGAAACAGGGCACGTCTAAGCCACGGGCAAAGGGCTTTCCGGAAAGAGCACACCGGCTGCAGATGCTCCTTGTGGCTCCCAGCAAGAGGCCTCCCAACTTCAGAGGTGGCCACTGGGAGGCGTGAGCTCCAAGACCTGGTGTCCCCCCAGTCCTGTGCAAACAGGCTGTGGGAGAGACTGAGAACTCAGAACAGTCCTGGTCAGAAGCCGAGAAGGACCCTCATCAGTAAGAGACGAGACGCTGCGCTCAGTCAGGGAGAGAGGCCACACCTTCATCTCCCACTCCTAAAGCCGGCTCCGATGCTTAGGAAAAGTTTCTGGCAACTGAAAGCCACCATCATTGCAGAGCCTTGTGGTGAAAAGAGGTCAAGAGAAGGTGGGGACACAAGAGACCCATTGGGGGGACAGGGTACCCATGACTCCATATCTGGGCAGAAGTGAGGAGGTTGTGTCTGCATCTAGGCAGCCACAGGGGGTGTGTTCACATCTGGGCAGAGGTGACAGGGCTGTGTCTGCATCTGGACAGAGGTGACATGTGTGTCTGCATCTGGGCAGGCATAGGGGGTTGAGTCTGCATCTGAGCAGAGGTGACAGGGGCGTGTCTGCATCTGGACAGGCATGGGGGAAATATGTCGGCATCTGGGCAGGCATGGGGGGTTGTGTCTGCATCTGGGCAGCCATGGGCGGTTGTGTCTGTATCCGGGCAGAGGTGATGGGGGCGTGTCTGCATCTGGGCTTGCATGGCGGGGTGTGTCCACATCTGGGAACAGGCAAGGGGGTTAGGGCTGGGGTGGCACCTGGGGCCTCACTGAGAGCCGGGAGAAGAACAGCCACAGTGATGGTCAGAGGAACTCTCTAGGAATCGCTTGGACAGGGGCACCGGCAGGCCGAGGAGTGGACCTGTCCACTCCCTCCCAGCCCCAAGTGGATGGCTGCCAACAGGCTCCTTCTCTTGTTTATGGAGAGCCTCCTGCGTGCCCCCGGCCCAGCTCCCCTGTGCCCAGGTCCCTGCCCACCCTGGCCCACCACTTTTATCCCCACAACCAAGTGACTTTCAGGAAGTCAAAGGACGTCTCCTTAGGAAAAGCTCAGGGCTTTTGTTTTACAATATCCCTGGTAAACTATCTGCTCTACTGTCGTATGTACCAACGGTGACTTACTGATCCTCTCTCCACAGTAAGCTGAAGGGCTATTTCTGTTCCATGCAGGAAATGTTAATTGCATTCCTGCTGTGTGGGGACACTTGGCAGGCGTGTGTCCCACACAGGGACCAAGCAGGAAGATGCCAGGAGCACACAGAGGAGGCGGCTGGAGCAGCCGCCACGTGTGGGGCCTCGGGAAGCCTGTGCAGAACTGAAAGGTGGACAAGGGGGCAGGGCAGGGAGGGTGGCAGGGGCAGACACCAGAACGCGCAAGCACGTGTGATCACGGCGGGGTTAAGCTTGAGTCATGAACACCAGGCCAAGGCGTGTGCGGTGAGAGTCTGGTCGGCTCACCAAGGCAGCCAGCGCAGCGCCAGGCAGAACGGTGGGGACAGGGCTGGAACCAAGCACTGAACTTGGTGAGGACAGCCAGGGTCCAGGCCAGCTGTCAGCAGGACAGAGTGACCGAACCAGAAAGGCTGAGCAGGTCTCGGGTTATGGGCAGGGAGGCGGGCCAGGGCCTGTGCACTCGGCACAGTGACAGCAGCATGTGCAAGCAGCTCGGACGCCAGACTCGAACTAGCACCAGCAAAGGGAAACTGAACCTGAGGAGCCCGGGGTGTGTCAGGACCAAGAGGTGGGAACTACGTTGGACTTTGGGGCTGCCGAGCCCCAGGCACGTGCTCCCACCCTGAGCTGGGCCCCTCTCTCCACACCAGCTCCGTTTCTCTCTTTCTCACTCCGGCCTGGCTCCCGTCTGTCCACAGGGCAGGAGGCAAAGGCACCGGGAACACCAGGGCCTGACGTCCCCCTGACCAGGCACCCAAAGATAAGCCAACCCCTAGACGTCACCCCAAATTCCTGGAGAAGGAGGTAGACTGGCACAGCCAGGCCAGGCACTCGCCAGGAACAATCAATCATGGCGGAGGGGGGGATGTTAACAAAAGAGGGGAGTGCTCTGCTCATAAAATCAGAGGCGCCTCCCACCTTTCTATTTCACTCCATCAGATTTTACAGCATCTCTTCCTTCTCATTGCCTTTCCTTTGCTACAAGGGCGCAGCTTTTCCAGCTGGCGCAGGAGGCGGGCTCCCAAGAATGCTCAGCATGGACCCGGGCACAGAGCGGGGGCACAGGCGCCGCAGGGAGGGAGGGCGTGGCTCCCACAGCAAGCTCCAAGGGACCATGTAGTGTGCAGGGTGGCACACAGGAGCCAAGGAGAGGGTCCCCCTCGCAAAGCTACCGAGAGAGAAAGAAAACGGAGCTGGAAAATTCACGACCCTAAACGCTAAGCCACAAGAAAACCTTTAGTAAAAGCCAATTTGGGAGTAAGTCAAAATAAATGTTGCCAACAGCAATGATGGAATACAGTTTCCTAAAGAGAAGAATTGGTAGCAATGATTCAAGTGTACACATTATTTCAGAAACACAGGGTGAGCTAATTTTTGGCTTTAACTTTGGCAACTTACAGTTAGTTAGGTTCAGTGTTTTTTATTTATGTTATTTTATTGTTTTATTTTATTTTGAGATGGAGTCTCACCCTGCCGCCAAGGCTGGAGTGCAGTGGAGCGATCTCCTCTCACTGCAAGCTCCGCCACCCAGGTTCACGCCATTCTCCTGCCTCAGCCTCCCGAGTAGCTGGGACAGGCACCCGCCACCACGCCCGGCTAATTTTTTGTATTTTTAGTAGAGATGAGGTTTCACCGTGTTAGCCAGGATGGTCTCAATCTCCTGACCTTGTGATCTGCCCGCCTTGGCCTCCCAAAGTGCTGAGATTACAGGCGTGAGCCACTGCGCCTGACCTAGGTTCAATGTCTTAACTTCCACATGGACAATATGAATGAAGAAATACTTTTGTAGTATTCCCTTTAGGTAAACAAAAAACAAGTCAAGTGAAATTTTTAACAGGTACTATTTCAGCTTTCTGAAGACCTGCTTATCAGGTTAATGATTATTCACTGATGACAATGAATATAGTAAAAAAGACCAATAAGCAGATATGATGAGAAGGTTGGATATTGTTTCTAACTAATCAATACTGTGGTCCAGCTAACCTTCTACTAACTGTATTGGTTCATTATGAAACTCTTTAGGAAGACAGAATGCAAGGTCACATTGCTAGAAGGTAACGCAAATTAGGCAGAGTGACCTGGACACGTTCTTGATGACTCGTGCGTGGGAAACGCCATAGGGCCATTCCAGAAGGAGAAGGCCCGAAACCTCGAGCCACGCAATGCAAGCTGAGCCCCCAGCACAGCCATTCTGCCATCCCAATGCAAGCTGAGGCCCCAGCACAGCCATTCTGCCATCCCAAGTTCCTACATTTCATCAGCTTCTAACCCCGTAAGTGCTCCTTGCAGAAGTTCATCAGCAAAATGGAGCACTGCGTGCGTCCAAAACCCACGGGATAAAACACGTCCGAGCCTTCAGCTTATGGACTTGTCTAGATTTTTGAAAGAGTAAGTTAATTAAGCCATCAACCAACCACCAATTAGCCTTGCAAGTGATCAACAAGTATTTATTGAGCAAGTTCCTCGGCCATGCCAAGTGCCATGATGGCAGACGTGGGTTTTGTTCTCACACTCACTGTCTAGCTGCAGAGGTAAAGGTGTGCAACGAAAAGAAATTACTCAACAAATACAACTCGTTATCAGTTATTCAATGTCAGGCCCTGTGCTGAGCTTTTATGTTCATTTCCTAGTGAAATTATCACAAGTCACATGATG